AAACTCCACCGATGAGCAAATCTCCCGTGTGGTCCTGTCTCTTATACACATCTAGATGTGTATAAGAGACAGGTCTTTAATTGGGCCCCCCAGTACTCTCTCTCTCTCTCTCTCTCTCTCTCTCTCTCTCTCTCTCTCCAGCCCTTCACAATCGTCCGCCACCGCTCGCTTTATAATCCTCCGCCACCGCCTCACGCAAACACGCAGCTTTCCCTTACTCATCCCCCTTCGTGTTGTGACCACCTGAAAACCAAGTCCTCACGACTAACCAGGGACAGAAGGAGATGGGTTTCCAGGTATGACACAATGACTTGATGATGGACATACCCGCTATGAGCTGTTTAACAGCAACAGAGATTACAGCTTAGTTACACAACTACCGACATTTGTGCGCACTTAATGACTGAGCACAAGCTGAAGAGATGGTGCGAGCACAAGCTGAAGAGATGGTGTCGTGGGCACAACAAGATAGATCAATCCGAAGATCAGTTCAGCGAAGGGAAACTCGTTCAACCACAATACGATCAGTTAAACCACCAGTTGACCTCACGCAGAGTGCAGCTCTTACAGTTAACCACGATCAGTTAAACCGCCAGTTAAACCTAAAGATATCAGTTAAACCGCCAGTTAAACCTGGAGATATAACCCGTGCAAGCTAATAGCACGCTCAAGCTACTGATAGATAACAAGCATGCTAACCATTGTTCAGCACCATATCCCACTTCTGCCTGTCAAAAACTACGGAAGCTGTTCAAAGTTGAAACTGCGGTAAGCTTGGACCACCAACAAGCTCTTCCCGACTTTCCGCTGTGCGTACACGAGGGCAAAACATGTAATTGATCTCAGGCTGTGAATAGTGGGGCTCAGAGACTACCCATGGGCGGAATAGGCCATGGGAGGTGTTTCTTTTATTTGTTTTTGTTTTAATTTGAACCATTTCTCTATTTATGCGTGTCATCCTTGCGCAGGGGCCATACATGGGAGGTGTTTCTTTCTTTTTTTTTTTCTTTTTTTTTCTTGCATGGGAGGTGTTTTCTAGTGTTAAATAATAGAGGATTTTGGGCACGCTGTTACAAGCTCAATTTTGGCAGTGTGTGCAAAGTAGGCATACGCCAGCAGATTCAGAAATAACACGATGTTCTTACCCGATCTATAGACTCCCTCTCCGCCTGAGTCAGTGTAATCATTGCTTGTGGCGCCTCCCTGAGATACCACCACATGGGATGCAAAACAAGGTAACCTCATTAGTTGTGACAGGGCAGCAAAGTTTTGCCACAGAAGAACAGAAATTTCACCAACAAATTGCCTCAGATCGACCCCGGCAGCCCGGCCAAGGCATATCTGGGCAAGGTCCCGGTCATGGTCCCGTGCAGTCCCAGCGCAAAAAATAGAATAACAATTCTGAAAAATCTTGGGAAAAAAATACGTCATCCAAAATTACGAATCATGCAGGAAGGTTGAAATAGAGTCAGAATGTCAAGGTTTCATCACAAAATGAGAAGAGTCACCCACGTAGTACAGATATGGTGACGGAACCACACTTCGAGGGGACTCCAAGCAAGGTTTTTAATGGAAAGTCGCTGGCCATCATTTCAATATCTCAACGCAAAGAAAAATAAAGACATGGAACTGCTGAGGGGGGCAGGGATGGAGAGAAAGGGTAGTGCAACCAGATAGATGTATTACCCCGGGAAGCCTCCCTCGCCCGCATCGTTGATAAGCCGCAAGAACTCCTCCTGGTTAGCTTGGATCAGCTGCAATAACTGAGGGTTTTGCTTGCCAAGCTCCTGCAACATGGGCTGAAGACCAAAGACCGATCCAGCAAGAGACTATTAGAGCACACTCAAAACTGGGACTTTTTCCTGATGAATCTGGCCATAATTGCTTCAGTATACATTCAAGAAAAGGACAAGTATTAATGCTTGGATGGATGAAGCCAAAGGGAGATCCACCGCCACTGTTTGCTACAAAGTTAAGAGGGACAGTACAAAAACTGAGTTTACGGCTAGGAAGATTTTCATGACCGGCCGGTCACCCGGGCGTGACGCCCGGGGGGGTCTGACGCCCGTGTGACCCGGTCATGGCAAAAAAAAACAAAACGAAACGGCGGTGGGGTTTTCCCGCGCTCTCCGAGAGGAGCCCAAATCCGGGCTCTTTTCTTTTTTTGAGTGTTGGCTGTCAAGGGGGGGAAAGGGGAGTGTAAATGAAATTTAAAGGGGCTCAAGGGGTTTAAAGGGGGGTTCCTTAGTGTGATATGGTTATTTTCTTTTTTATCTTTAGTTCTGTGAGGAATTCTGATGTGACCCTCACCCACACCAGATGTCTTTTTCTTCAAAGGGCCCCTTCTATTCTGGGGGGCATCAGACCTGTTGCGTATCACAGGCAAACAAGTTTTTTACATCCATCAAAGGAAGGGGGGAGAGCAGATAAAAGAAAACCAACAACCCGACCCTTGTGATACTAGACGCCTATCAAGGGGGGGACTACTACAGAACGTCCCACCCCCCAACCCTCGACCTTTCATAGGGGACTGGCCTGCAGGTCGGGAAGCTTAGTAGCAGCACCCGGTCATGCAACACGTCAAAACCCAGAGAGGCCAGGCATGAGGGGGGTGTCTGTGGCAGTTCCTCAAGCCGCCTGTCAACCTACTGATTCCGTCCGTACGTCTATCACATTCATAGCCTCTACCATACCTGTGGTTACCCTTTCTCTGCAAGTGCCCTCACCCTATTGTAGTCATTTTAATGCATGTTCCTTCCTTGTGCGTTTTCTTTTTTTTTTTTTGGCAAAGAATTCCGATGTGACCCTGAGGCAAAAGTTGTTTTTTTGCATAACATAGTTCTTTTCCGGAATTTTGGATTATTTTTTTTTTGGCTGGGACCTTCCCTGGTCTTTTCATGCCCGGATCGTCCTGGAAAACAAGGTGACCCGGACAGCCCAGCTGATAGCCTAGGATACAATACCTCCAAGATTCTCGGAGGCATACTTGCACTAACACTTCTTTTATTTGTTTCCGTCCGGAATTGCAGCCAGATGCATACAGCTCCGGCCGTAGATACAGTCAGATACATTCAAGATTAGTCCTACTGTGAGTATGCCTGAAGTATCACCAACAGATGGTGACAATGACAGCGCCGAAGGCAAGCCCGGTTACAATACCTCCAAGATTCTTGGATTATCTTGTACCATATTTCGCAGGGCCTCGAACTGCAAAACAGCCAAACAGAACAATTTTATAAAACCATCTCTTTCTCTTTACCACATTCAGTGATAAGCTGCAACAAATAATCACCGCAAACGAGACTCGCACAACTGACAGGTACTCGCTGGAATTTTTGTGACTGAATCTGGCCGTAAGCTAGGAGATATACAACCAAGAGCATGCCCAAAGTTCCCCCACAACAAATGCAGAATCAGTGGCGATGTTGTGACAACCCGCAACTCTTCCTCCTACACAGCCTTAGTCCCACCTGAGCCATTCGACAAAAGCTTGTCATTTCCGGTTCTGATGAAGCAAAACTACATTTTTTTTTCCTACTTAGGAAACCTTCCCCTACTAACTTGAATGATTGACTCAAGGAACATTTTGAGAAATTTAAGCTATTTATTGCAGATTATATAAAACATGAGTACATCCTCCTGAAGTAGATGAAGGCACGACTGTGAAAATTTACTAAACACTGTAAACAGTCTTAAAGGCTCAAACTCAAAAAGGACGAGAAATTTGGGAATATTATTATACATACAAAGTGTACAAACCGGCTTGTCATGTCACAATTATTATACGAAATCAAAGAACAAGAATCATAAAACTCCACCGATGAGCAAATCTCCCGTGTGGTCTATGCCTTGCGGGGTTAAATGCAGTCCGAGCTGATCATGTCCCAGGCCCTCAGCATTCGGGGCCACATCGTGAGTAGGGACTGTCGTTGGGAGTGTACTCTGGGCAGGGACTATATCCTGTTGCACAGMTGGGGGACAAACGAACATGGAAGGGCATARAACATGGTGCTGTGGCTGTGTGCAAGCAGCTGGACTGTCTGCAGGAGGCATAGGAGCGGATGTATCCGTTTGGGACAACGGAACCGCAACAACCCGTGAAGGAGGCACAGAGAGAATTGGGGTAGCTGTGTGCAAGCAGCTGGACTGTCTGCAGGAGGCATAGGAGCGGATGTATCCGTTTGGGACAACGGAACCGCAACAACCCGTGGAGGAGGCACAGAGAGAATTGGGGTAGACAMAGAAGCAGGCCGCTGATCCCTGGCCAAGTGGCGATGTTGTGCATGTCGTCGACGATGATACACAATAAGAGGAGTGGCGAGGTTTCTAACAGAAGATGTCACTGGCAATGAAGGCGGAACAAGGGGAAGAATAGAAACCGGAGAATCGGTTCTCAAACGAGACCGTGGAGGATATATATATAATATTAAAAATTCATAAAACTCCATAAGTTCTTTTCCAATCTTAGATTATTTCGAGATTACAGAGATTCTGCACCAAATGTGCACGGCAAGTTGCACACTGCCCAATCTTTTGCACAAAGCATGCCATGCACATACTATCCGCGCTGTGGCAGTTTGTTCGCACGATGGCATGCCACAGCAGCAGTCCTCTGATGGGCTACACGGCGGCACCCCTCACTATCAGTGGGAGTGCACAAGGCCGAAGGACTGCCGGGTATGCTTCCCCCAAAACTACCGGGGTGCTTGCATCACAGCTCCAGGCACGAAGTGCAGCAAGACATGCTACTCAACTCAGGACAAAGAACCTGTGCAAATTGAGAATCAAGCGGAATGTGAGGAAACTCGGAAATGTGATCATGCAATGCTCATTCCACATAAGCAAAGAAGAATGCGTTCGAAATTCCAATTGCTCTCACAAAAGGAAATGGACTGCAATCCACCTGCACAAGGTGCAAATAGGCATCCTAGAGTACTACTTTCACCATTAACCAGCGCTATCCTGCGTGCACCCCTCAGTAAACCCGCTGCCGTGGAAAAGCCTCAGCCGACACAGCAGGCCAGGTAGGCCTCGTCATGGTGACACCAATCCACCTGCACAAGGTGCAAACAGGTATCCTGGAGTCTGTTCTGCTATGTTTTCAAAGTTTGTCTGTTCTTCTATGTTTTCAAAGTTTCTGTTCTGCTATGTTTTCAAAAGTTTGTCTGTCCTGCTGACGATGTATGTATGCCGTGCACTCAACTGCTCCAACTGCTGAGTCAACGAACGTACCCATGTGCTACCTCTGTTTTCCATGCTGTGCTCCTGTATCTTGGACAGGGGTAGGTTGGCATATAGGACGAGATTCAGAGACGGGACTTAATCTTACCTCCAGGAGGACAGACAAGAAACAGTAGGGAGGTCAGGGGTAGAAAAGGAATGTCATAGGGATCCGTTAGGGATCTAACAGCAACCAGGAAAGGCCCAAGAGTCTGGTACCTGCCTTCGTTGGTCATGATGGTACTACGATTGTCTCTAGACGGGCTTGGGTCGAGATAAAGGTTGTCCTGGTAGGATGGCACTGAATCAAGAAGCCCCCTGCTTTGGGTACCGGTTGGGAAAGGACTTCATCCTTAGGGTGTGGCTATAGCAGTAGGAGAGCAGAGAGGCATCAAATGGTAGCTGTGTTATGTGTGGAGCATCCGTGCTGCGAACAGATGAACCGCCATAGCTACATGCCATGCAAAGCAAAGAGAAGAGTGAAGAGAGGCCAAAGGACCGGCCTTCTACGCTGGCAGTAAGCGGGATGATACAGACATTGATTGTTGTTCACTCGTTCATTCACTAGTCGTACTTCAATGTAAATAATGAGAGGGGGTGGCTATATTGCCGAAGAGATTACGAAGGCGAGATGAGGGAAAAGGATGACATAATCCGGTGTTCTTTTTCTTCCTTTCTCCATTCTTCTTCTCCCCCATTCTGCTTCTTCTAATCTTTGCATCACAAAATTGACAGGCGCATAACAAAGACATCCTAATACCCGCAAAATAGCGACAATGCATTAAACTGAGCATTCTTTTTCGCCGTTTACAGCAATTCAAGAGCAAATGCCCCTGACCTGTGCATTATTCCGCAGGAAGTCCAATGCTCTTGTTTGACCAGGCATCGCACCACCTACACCAGGCATGCCCTGCCATAGAAAAGAAATCATAACGAGAAATTATCAGTGTAAAGCATTATAACGGTGTCGAAAACGATTACTAAAGAAAATGCACGTAAGACTAAAATGTAATAACCCGCTAAAACACACACTGGGAACATTGGCAAAGTCGAGGAGGAGGAAGGCGGAGAGACGAGGAGGTTTCGTCACTGGTACTTCTTCTTCTTTCTCTCTTCTTTGGTCTCTATCTCTTTGCAAGTGCTTTCATTTCTTTCGCAATTGGGTGGCATTGCCTTTCCTTGTGAATTTGCACTTTGGAAATGACCAGGATACTAACAAAAAACAACCCTTAAGCTAACCAAATAGCCCCCATAATTGTAATCATCTGACATCTGTGACAGTGTAAAAACTGGAGCAATTACCCAAGATTAGCATAACCCTTCCTCGGTCCTTCAAAACACCCATTTAAGTCGGAACAATACAGAGAAGATTAGCATGGCCCCTGCACAAGGGAAAAAGAGAAAAAGGTATAACAAGTAACCTAGGACGACACACATCGAGGATTTGTCCAACAAAAAGGAAGAAAAGAGTAAAACTGTGGCCATGCATTCCAATACAGAGCTGCAGGGGCCTCCAACTTGTCCCGAACATATTGGAACTCACATGTAACCCATACTCGTTCTATTTGAATAGGACAGCTAGGCACTGCATACTCCGCAAATTCTAGAACGTCCTTTCTTGGGCAAAAAACATAATGAAATGTCTGGGCAACACAAGTGTCACGTCTGCGGGTTTACAGTCGCGTCTGTACATAGACTGCCTGACCAGCAGCTGAACCTGAGAGCAAAGATCGAGAGAGACTATAAAATTCGAGCAGCAAGGGTCCTGTTCTGGGTATCCTCACCTGAGGGAAAAGATCCAGAGGAGCAGCATTTGGCCCTCCTTGTGCAGCACCTCCTGCGGGCACGCCTCCTACTGCCTGAGCAGCAGCTGGACCTTGAGTTGCTGCTGCCGCTGCTGCTGCTGCTGCTGCTGCTACAGGAGGAGAAGGCGATCCTCCTTGTGCTCCACCTGCTTGAGGCATTCTTGCAACTGGAGGTGGCGCTTCTGCAGTCGGAGGAATACCCTGCACAACCAAACACACCTTGTTAATGCTGAATCCGATGAACAATTGCCAAACCACTATTACAAGATTATAAACAAGAGAATACACACAATAAACGAAGATGATTTGTAACACATTAAACAAAAAAAATTGAAGGCCGCTAAGAAGGCGAAATCAACTGGAGGGGATACATCTGACATACACCCAACGTTTCCCATAAAAAATTGAGGTACACCTGGGTCATCTGTATCTGCATGGAGCTTGCAGCAAGGTGCATTCATGACCATCTACCTGGTGGGATCATTCTGATGCAGATCGCCTGAGGGTACTTAAACCACCAGTACACCCAGGCCTGCAGGCCCCTTGGCACGCGCAAAGGTTTTCTGAAATGCAAGCGACGCACTTTTTTTCTTTTTTGGCTGGCGCTGCCAGCCATCCTGGTCCAGTAGGCCGAGCCGCCGAGTTTTTTCGTAGGCTACGAGTTTCTTTTTCAGCAAGGCCGGAAGGTTTTCTGAACCACCAGCGGCACACTTTTTTACTTTTTTGGCTGGCGCCACTAGCCATCCTGGTCCGGTAGGCCGAGCCACCGAATTTTTTGTAGGTTACGAGTTTCTTTTTCAGCAAGGCTGGGGCCATGTACTGGCGGTTTAAAGCCCTTTGAGGAATTTAGATGGGTCTAAGATCTCTTCCCTGAACCCAACTGAGACGCAGACCAGACAAGGCGTCCAACACGGTTAATTAAGGGAAACAAGGGGAGTTGGATGCTACACATGCAAGGGGCTGAAGGGCAGGTGAGTCCCATCTGCCTGGGTGGGATCATTCCGAAAGCGGCTTGTTTCATTTCATGCGTTGACAACATCTAAAAAAACAACAAACAAAATGAAATTGTATATAATTGGCATTTTAGCCAAAATACTTGCAGCTCGCCTGGGGGTAAACCCAGATCAGACAAACCGTCCAACAGGGTTAACAAGGGGAAAAATTAGGGGAGTTAGATTCTCCACATGCAAAGGGGCTGAACGCCGGGCGAGCCCACTACCAGCAAGATGAAGATGCAGATGGCCTGGACAGATCTCGTACACAACAGAGAAGACCGGGTCTTTTCCTTAAACCACCAGTTCTTATGATCGACGTTTGCCCGGTGCATCAGACGGCCTGCACGCCAAAAGAACAAGCATGGGCCTCCTTTTGGCTGGTGCCGCCAGCCATTTTGCTCTGGCTGCCAACCCCCTAAAGATCTGGCAGCGTGCAAGGCGCGCAGGAAAAAACTGGCTGGGAAACGTACTGGTGGTTTAAAAATAGGAACCCGAGAGAGAGGACTTCACTTGCCGGGGCAGTGCCACACTTGTCTGGACACAAGCAACTAGAACTGCAAACCACATCCTCCAATCAGTACAAGCTCGAGGCCGCATCTAGCCGCTCACATCACCCAGCCATTAGGCGGTTCCCGGGAGAGGGGAGGAGGCATGGCCCCCAACTTCGGGCCCCCCTGCAGAGTGTCTCCATTGGAAGGGGGCAGGGCTCTATCTTGATCTTCTTCCGAACAATTGCTTTTCAGGTTTCCACTCTTTGCGAGGGATGCTGGACCCAGTTGCCGGCAGGTGTAGCTCCCCACCAATAGATCGGAGCCTATCGTAGGGGAGAAAAAAACCCAAAGAAGGACAAGCTTGAACAATTGTACATCACAGATCCTTTAAACAATTGCAGCGTCCCGTGAACTAGCTCTCAAACCAACAACTCCTGATGATGGGTTAGACATTCCTTTCCATTCCAGGAAGGATTCTCAATTCTGAATTGTCTGCATACGATGTACTCCATAATTTTACCGGAATCACCTGAAGAAAAAAAAGGCCACCATGGTCACATCGCAGATCCAATTGAAAAACTGGACTGGAGCCAACGGCGCGTTGACGTTAACTTAGCACAAACACACTGCGGCATTGCTACACTTCCCCATTCTTCTCTCTTTGTTTTATTATACCAGAGTCACTAGGCTTCTTTTCCTTTTTTTCAACCGGACTTCAACAATCTCTTTCCGCTGTTCGCCCTGACCATTCAGCAAAACAAAGCACCACAGACACTGTCACCGTCTCGCAAGTCGAAGGAAACAAACTGCTGCATGACGCTCAACGCTGTTCACNCTGCTGCATGACGCTCAACGCTGTTCACCCTGACCATTCAGCAAAACAAAGCACCACAGACACTGTCACCGTCTCGCAAGTCGAAGGAAACAAACCGCTGCATGACACTCAACACGTGAAATTTCTAACCCTTCGAAACAGAACACTTCCGAGGAATGCCAACCTGCTTACCGTAAAAAGGTATTCCACAGCCCGCTCAGGGTTGTTGTATGCTGCACGAAGAGCGCGGACCACCATGTCTCTGTCATATGCTCCACCTCCCATCTCCATCAGATTCTGTATTGTGGCCTCCAGGTTCTGACCAGAGACGAGATTAGATGCGGCCTGCAAGTATGTGTCACCAGGTTCACCCCCCCTGCAGCCATCAAACCACCAACACCCGTCTTAGCGAACATTACTACACAGTCGGCACACAGTGGGCTTCCTCCAACAACCTGTTATAGCAGCGGCAATGCACGGCCTATCACAAAGAACAAAGGCAAGAATCCGCAGCTTCGCAGGTCGCACTCCTGCAATTTGCATCGGTGTTCTGAGTTCCCCAGCAACGCAATGTTCTAGCAGCAGCAATACACAGCCTATTGAAAAGACCAAAGGCAGACTGCGGATTTTAACACCTTCACAACTCGCTTGCCACAACCACAGCCTATCAGAGAGACCAAAGGCAGACTTCGCCACCTTTGCAATTCACTTCCCGTGTCAAGTACCCCGAAAACCTATGCGGGTAAACTTCCGGAATTCGCATCCATGTTCCAAGTTCCCCAGCAAGTTAAAGACGCATTCAACATAGTCGTACAAAGCAGACCACCCAGCACTCAAGAACCGAGAGCAACCAAAAGCCAAAAATAGATAGAAGAAAAAAACATATGAGAGAAACTTCTCACCATGGTCACAAGCACACATTGTGTGCGAATGCCAGCAGTTACACACTTGAGAGACTGGCGCCAAACTCAGTCAACCTGATCAGAAACTGACAAAAGACTATCATAGACCTTTCACTTTCCTCCTCATGCCTTGGACATGTCCTAGTTCCGATGCAATTCTTTCCACACAAGTCACAAAACGACTATCTGCTGGAAAATCCCTTCCAATTCAGAAGTTCATATTCATCCACCTACTTTTGATCATGCACCTTCACATCCTGACGGACCAAGTACTTCGCCCACAAGGCCAAACTTCACATTCGTTCCAGCTTCTCAAATAAAAATCGCTCTTTACTCAGCCATAAAACTAAATAGGTGGATGAATATGAACTTCTGAATTGGAAGGGATTTTCCAGCAGATGGTCGTTTTGTGATTTGTGTGGAAAGAATTGCATCCTGGCACCTTCACATCCTGATGGACCAAGTACTTCGCCCACAAGGCCAAACTTCACATTCCTTCCAGCTTCTCAAACAAAAATCACTCTTTACTCAGCCATGAAACTAAAAATCTTACCATCCCTCTCTCTCTCTCTCTCTCTCTCTCTCTCTCTCACACACACACACACACACACACACACACACACACACGCACACACACACAGAAAATACGCACACTAGCAGTGTCCAAGACCATTCACTATTAACCATTTCTCTCTCTCTCTCTCTCTCTCTCTCTCTCTCTCTCTCTCTCTCTCTC